TAGAGCAACCAGTGCTATTAACCTCTGAGCCATCTCTTCAGCCTTGTTAGACAATATAACTGTGGGAAATATTGGTAATTGAGTTCTACATTTTTTTTTTCATCAAGAATGATATCTTTTTCCCATCAAACATTTGCTCAAAGTCATCTTAGTCACAAATTTCTGGCTGGAATATATTTCTCAAAAGTATCTTTTTGGAATCAGTGGCTCAGTAACACGAGTTGTGTAGCTTCCTAGGGAGGCTCTGAGGTTCTGGGTTTGAGTTCTCTCTTCTGCGTAGTAGCCCATTCAGAGTGCAAAGCCGATGCTGGAAAGTCCTGAGAAGTGAGGGGTTGCAGACAATGTGGTGGACTGACTTGTTAGAGTGGAATGCAGATCCTCTCTGCTCTTGGTTGTTTATCACTGTAGGAAGCTGGAACGAGTTATTCAAGTACTTAAACAACATCTGGCTCACTTCCCACCTGCCATGGAAAGTTGGCCCCTTCAACACCATGATTCAATAATCATAGATCAAATAGATTTTGGTAGAGGGAATCTGACTGTCATAGTTAAGGTTTTACTGCTGTGAAAGATATCATGACTAAGGCAACTCTTCTAAGGACAACATTTAACTAGGCCTGGCTTACAGGTTCAGAGGTTCAGTCTAGAATCATCAAAGCAGGAGTATGGCCGCATCCAGGCAGGCATGGTACATTAGGAGCTGAGAGTTCTATGTCTTCATCTGAAGGCAAACAAGAGAGGACTAGCTTCCTGGCAGCTAGGATGAGGCTCATAAAGCCCACCCCCACAGTGTCATACTCCTTCTGACAAGGCCACACCCACTCCAATAAGACCACACCTCCTGGGCCAAGCATATTCAAACCAGCACACTGGCCATGCACAATTTTTTTCTTTGTCATTATTTCTTGACCATTTTAGTGTATTCATTTCTATAGCCCTTATGCTAGATTTGGTATTATGGGTAATCTAGAGATGTTTTAAAATATGAGCAAGTACTCTACCATTATAGACAAGAAATTTGAGTATCAGTAGGGTTTTGCTATCAAGAATGAGGGGTCTTGAAATCAGTCTGAAGGAACAGGAACATGTAGGAACCTATTCCAGCTTTTCCTTGTTTGTTTCTTACAATAACAGTTGTATAAAAATGAGAAGGTCATGTTAGAGATAGAGAAAAGAGAACTTAAGGAAGAAAAGGCTTATAAGAAATTTTCAGACAAATGTTTTCTATTTTGATCTCTGCAGCTATTTCTAAATCACCGAGAATAGATTTGTGGAGAGTTAACATTGAGCTTTAGTGTGGAGGTCAAAGAGCAGGGAAATAGGACACAGGAGGTATTTGGCAATTCAGATAAGGAGGTGACAATCAAATGCCTTCCCAGTAGAGCTTCTGTGGAATCTGTGTATTGGGAAATGGAGAGTGGGTATGTGAGGGTCTCAGCTGTTAGTGAACAGCCCTGTATTTCCTAGTTAACCATTAACATGTAACCTTCACATGCATTCAACTAAACTCGTACATTTTCAGAACCGACAGCCTCTCCTTCCCTGGAGACTAAGCATGGATAACCAGGAGCTGTAAAACAACTCACTCAAGTACAAGGGCTGTTTATTGCTTTAGAGCCACAGTTTGTCTGAGATGTAAACTTCTGGTCTGCGTTTTTATTGTAGTTGAACTATTAAAATACCACGTTGTATTCCTATCAATGCAACTGTTTCTCAGCATCACTGTTTAAGGATCCTGGGGTTTCCACTGTCCAGTATACTCAATCAGAGTCTGTGGGTTGTGACGGTCCACAACTGTATCTCTTGACTTCTTCTAGTGCTTCTTCAGAGAGTGGCATCATTCAGGGGGTCTTATGGCACAGTGGTTTCATTCTCTAACCTCTTTGTTTCTATGCAAAGTTTATTCCCTCTTATGGACACTTGACTCCAAAGCATCCTCTCTTTTGGAAACATGTATTAAATATCACTTATTATTCATGTGCTGTGATAAGCTTTCTTCTCCCTTTGCCCATGAAATTTTATTGCATGCATATTCAGAGCTAATTTATATATTGTATGCAGTTTATTATTCTCTTCATGATAAGATTTAACCCACTGTGATAATGATTATACCTGAAAAGGAACAGGAAAACGGTGTAAGACAAGATGAAGCAGAGAGTTGAGAGACAGGTCTTTGCTCTGAGATGCTTGGAAGCATGCTTAGGTAGTAGTACATGGGGAATTGGGTCTGTGGGCTTAAATTTCTGCAGTGTTTGGGCTCTGTCTTCATCTAGTTTCTCTACAGAACAGAACTGATAGAAAAAGCCAATGTGATTGAAGGATGGCAGCAGCAATGGCATCAGTAGAGTGGATGTGTTCACCAGCAGGGGGAGAAGGCAAGCAGGCAAAAAGCAACTTTCCCTCACAACATCCCGGAGATGTATGCCAGTCTACTCTCCCCACGTCTCCTTAAAGGAAATAGCCATCCAGACCCTTCCATAACTGATTGCAGGTTAATCAAGTTGACAACCAAGATTGAACTGTACCACTCTCTAATAAAGAGAATCCCAAGTTAAAACTGAAATTATGTGTGTAGGCCTGCATATCTTTATAGGGGTAGTATTTTAAAAGCATGACCATCTTTACTGGTCATTTGTTGTTGTTATCTTGTGAACTGTAAGATTTAACATTCTAAAGGAAAGAGGTGTACTTAACATACTGTGTTGGAGTTCAAAGTTCAAAACCAGGTAGCTTTATTAGTGTTTCGCTTAGTCAGAATGTCATTTGGGTATATGTGGTTTCCCCATGATGAAGGTACACACAAGAAGGAAAGAGCACATGTTAAGACAGTAATCCAGGCTGGTTTTTTCATAACAGCTCGTTCCGATGGGAATTGGGTGGGATTTCTGGAGAGTCCCACCAATACCTTCCAAGGGGAGTTGGCCAACAATCATGGAACAACTGCCACTGTGAGGCAAGACAACTAAAGATACAACTCTCTTAGCTGTGTTTAAGTGAGGCTGGAGTTACGGATGCATAGGAGCCAAATGTCATCGGCAAAACAAATACTTGTCTGTCAAAAGAGCTGGTCTCTCAGTTGTAAGTGGGAGGCATCCGCCACATATTTTGATGGTGAAGGTGAACTGAGATGCAGCCAACCCATTCATCATCTGCAGTTCAAGATATAGTGGATACTGATGCAATTACGAGAAAAGCTACAGGACTTTCAAAGTATGTGCTACTTACTACCGGACTCTTGGTAGAAAATGACTTTATTTGTACAGTAGTGATAATTTATATGCCCACCATTACCTCCTACTTTTATGTTATTGAGAAAATGACTCAACCCTGTAAATCCACTGCTTGGGTGGACATAGTCTTGCTCAGGTGGTTTCCCCCAACTTCATGCTGTTACAGTCCACACTCATGGCTAACATATGCCCATTTCTCAAGGTAGGGTTAAAATAACCCTTTACTATAAAGACCTGCAATGTAGGGAGTGAACAGTGCGTGCTTCACATCCCACTGGCCTCAATACTTCCAAGGTCCCTGCTCCTGTCTGGTCTGTGGTTATTTGTCATACACAGTTTTTAATCCATTTCTCTGCCTATTCCAGGTCATCTGTCACTTGTGGGTTGCCATGCCTGGAGCATACACAGAGATAACACAGAGATATCATAACAGGCTCTTGTTACCAGTGAACTGGAAAACCATGGCTCTTAGCAAAAAGACTACAGTCAGAACACTTTTACAAAGAACAAAAGTAGTCCTGAGCAAAAGCCTTTAAAATAGCCTTAATGTAGGAACTGTTGCTGGAGGGTGGAGTCTAACGCCAGTGCCACAAGAAACATGGGGTCAAGACTTCATGAAAACACTGTACTAACCACACACATCTAGTATCTTGTTTTATACTCTGATAAATGTTAGATTTTTTCCTTTAAGAATGATATACTATACACTATAGAGTATAAACAAGATGACAAGATGACTCAGTCAGTAATGGTGCTTGCTGCCAAGCCTGATGACCTAAGTTTGATCCCAGATCCCTAAGTGGTGGAAGGAGAGAGGAATTCTCACACTTTGTTCTCTGACTTCCACATGTACCATGGCATGTGCATGAGCATTCCCTCTCTCTCTCCTTTCTCTCTCTCTCTCTTTCTTTCTCTCTCTCTCTCTCTCTCTCTCTCTCTCTCTCTCGCTCACACACACACACACATGCATACACACACAGCATACACACATACACACACATATCATACACACATGCACACACACACACACTAAGTGTAAAAAATATAGGTAATATGTTGCACATAATTTGCAGCAAATATTTGAACATTAGGAAGCATCGCAAATGTGTAAACTCTTGAGAAAACTGATTAGAATAAATTATATTAGTGAAGCAACAGATTTTGATATTTTCATTGATAAAGTCTACTAGTTTATATCATTTTTAAGGACAGCAAGACCATCCATATTTGACATATTTTGAGCCTGAGTATTTTAATGAAATGAAGTTTAATTGGAGTGTTTAACCATCACATGTTCCCTTGTTTTGGTTTAGGAAAAAAAAGGTTTGTTATATAGGAAATCCACAAATGGTGTTCCCATTAAGAATTATTTTAAAGAGTGCACCTAAGACATCTATGTAGATGTGGCTGTAGCTATAAATTCTATTATCAGTTGGGGGTTATGTGAGCATTTGTATATGATTGCCTCTAACTCTAATTGAGATGGCCCTGAAATCTGTCAGATCTGGGACACTGTGTGAAAGAATGACTTTGTTCTTTTACTCAGGAAAACCTGGTCTTTAGTCCTGGCAATCATGAGATTTCTGTGCCACCAGATCAGATTTTCCAAATGATGCTCTCAGAAGGGCTAAATCTGATGTGTGTGGTAAGGAACACATAGCCTACCCTATGGAAAGCAGATGTTGCATAAGCACCAGGCCTTTCTCTGCCTGCTTCTGGCTTACTCACTTGTGGTATTGATTATCATCCTTCACCCTGGTTGTGTTGCAGGTGGTGTTCTGGATGGATGGCAGCTGGAAGCCCATCTCCATAGCCAGCTCATCTTCAACACTGAAGCACTTACCTGGGCATTAAGTAATGAAAATTTTGGTAAGGAAAAGCGCAGACAAAAAGAGCATGTTGCTTTTCTTATAAGGTCATCTTAGTCTCAGTTCTATTTTATAATAAGTGGCATGATTATTCTCTAAGCATCTCTGGCTGTGACAGATGTCTGTTTCTCTAAGGTTTATCTTGATGTTAAAAATAAGTAACATGGGCTTTTGAAAACAAGATTACCGGTATGCCTGTGTTCTTTGTGCCATTGTTAATGCGTCACTACACTTTGCTTAGTCTCTTTTGTTCTCCAAATGTCTATTCACCCTATACTTTGTGTCTCTGTGGGCAAGTGTGGTGTTACGCATCTTTTCAGCAGAGTGTACATAGAGCACAGCCTCCTGGTATCTGAGGTGTTGACTGACGCTGCTCTCTGTAGCTATAAAAGCTCTGACAGCCCTGAAGAGTCAGGTCAGAGAATTAAAGTGGGGTCAATCTCAGACAAATAAGGTTCTAAATAACTGAAGCATGCATGCCCTAAAGTTGTCATGTAGGGGCTGTTAGAATGGGAAAGGATACACTTCTTTTTGAGATGGGATTTCATCACTATGTAGCCTTGAGTGGCCTAGAATTCACTGTATAGACCAGAGTAGTCCTAAGCTCATAGAATTCACTTGCCTCTGTCTCTCTTGTCCTAGGATTGAGGACATCAATCCTAACCCTGGTCCAAATAACTTTATTGGTTTAATTTTTATACAGTTTTTCTCCATGTGATAATATGTACTTTAATTTCCATATACTTGCATGAACTTAATCTATAATTAGTGTGCTTGATATTATGTTATATTACTAATCTGTGCTGAACATAGTGTATAGTCTATTATTAAAGAGAGAAGGGTAAGAAAAAGAGGATGATGACAGAAAGATATCAATAGTCCCAAGGGTACGAATCTCAATCACTAAGAATGTCAGTTTAGCATTGACCTTCAACTGTAGAAATGTCTACTGGAGATACTGTGCAAAAAGACAGCTGGAAATTAGAATAAAACAAAACAGAAGGTTCTCTGAAATTTCATTGTTTCCATAAAGAGTACTCATTGTAAAATGATACCTTTAAAACTTTGAACCTAAAATACAATAAAATGCAGTCTCCCATGTTTTTAGCTAGAGATATTTTACCATATTGTCTACGATTATGTTTTCCAGAAACCATATATGAGGAATACATCCATCTCGTGCTACTTGTGTTTCCTTCTAAACAGTCACTTTTTAACTGAAGCTGGCATTCATGTCTTCATTTTGGGGTAATTTCATCTTTAGTCATAGCTGTTATCATGTTAGTGGTCCCTAAATGTCTTGATGCTGAAACTGCATTGTGTTCAGTCTCCTTGTATGTAGGTCTTCCCTCTTCAGTGTAAAATATCAGGTGACTGTGGAGCTGCTTCAGGGACTTGTGAATCCTTAAATGATGTTTTCAGCACCTTTGCAGTATTCCATATGAGTATTCTATCTCCTAAAGCAGTTGATCTTTTTGCTGTAACTATTCTATATACTGATATCATGCATGTAAGTTGACCACATTAGACAGACTGTCATTGGCTGACATGGTTTGTTCCTGATCTTTTTTAGAATAAATGTTTTTCCTGGGGCTTTAAAAATCACGCCACAGTCATGTGATCAATGTGTCTTTTTTTTCTGGATATTAAATGTGAGTTTTAACCGAAGTGAAAAAATTTGTGATCATCCATCTTGTATTTAGCCAAGTCTTCAGTGACTATGAAATCATCCTAGCATCAGATTACTGTGGGCATCATGAAAAAGGGACATTTTCTCTCACAGTTGTTAAGTGAAAGTGTTTAGAGTTCAAGATTTTACACTAACTACACCTAAGCGTTTCATGGAGCCTGTACTTCTAGATAGCTAATAATCAATTCAAGAACGTTCATTGAGCTATGGCACAGATCAGGTGCTACTTCAGTTTCATTGTGATAAGCTGAATGTTGCTTATAATCCACTTAGCCTTTCTCTGATCATTAAGGTTTGACAGCTGGACAGTCTTCCTCAAGTTAGCTTAGACTATCAAAACTGTACTATATTTTTGATATTTTCATTCACCCACCAGGCTGTCAGATGCACAGGGACAAAGAATAAGACAGAACTTTTTCCTAGTGAGAAGATAATTGATCTTGGTTGTTCGGTTGCTTATCTACTCAGTCAGACAATAGCACCCTCCTCCAAAGTGCTTGGTTTTGTGTCTTCTTACAGCTGTGTCAGCGTAGGTCTCCCTAAAACAGAGGCCAACTGGATAGATGTAAGATATGACCTGGAGAAAATTGAAAGTCTTATTCAAGTAAGTACACATTTTTCAATTTTTGTTTTAATATTTGATATATATTGTTTGTATTAAAACTTTGATTCTCAAGAAGTTCATATATGTATTAAAATATGATCATATGTACTTGTCATTTTACTCCTCTTAAGATATTTCTTCTATCTCCCTACTGTGCCCACCCCCAACTTTGTATCTTTTTTTTCTTGCTTTTTTGGTAACCCACTAAGTCCAATTAATGTTGCCTTAACATTGCCATGTTAAGTATGTACATGGCCATGATTCCATCCAATGAAACAGAAAAATAAGAGTGGGATGCCAACAAAGGAGAATAATTCTTTTCCTCTTGGTAGCTATCACATGCCAGCATGTTGTTATGGGGGGGGAAGGTGGAGCCAGGAGAGCACATCCTTTTTTAAGCTGTTATTTTGGCAGACAAGATCTGTGCAGATAACAGAGTACTTTGAGTTTGTGAGTGTGACAGCCACATTGGATCCAGAGGACACTATTCCACTGTACTTCTTCCCAGCCTCTCGCTTTTATTTGTTTTTCTGTATCCCTTTTATCAGTATCCCCAGAGTCTTGGCAGGACAAGGAGTGGGGCTTAAAAACTGTCTTATTTAGTGCTGAGCAGTCAATTTCTTCTTCATAGCACTTTGACCAATTATACCCAAGCATTGATTGCTTCCCAAGGTTGATAGATACCATGTACTTAGGGTATATGGCTGCCCACCCATGGACTTTTGCTCAGGAGTATAGTACCAGGCATATTTTTTTATTATTATTACTGTTGAGCTGTTCTCCAATACAATGTAAAAGCCAAAAGAGCCATGCCACGAACCACATCCTACATGGCAGGTATATATTGTGTCATGTAGGGGCAAGTGCTGGATCAGGTCATTAATGTCATGTTTTTCCAGAAAGAAAACATATAATGGGTATGAAGTATGCATCTCTTATGTTTTTCTACAAATTCCTATGAAATACCATTTAAAATAATAATATTTGTGAAGAAATATGTGAACATTGCAAAGCCTTCTAAGATATTGTTTTTAAATTCTAATCACTGTTAAGATTTACACCTTTATCAGAGCTAGGAACCGTGTGTCGACAGGTCCTGGGCTCTAGTGTAGGCCCTATAACCATTCTTTTGCTAAATGCATAGCATACAAGTGACTCCTAATGACATCACTATACCCGTAGATTAGTGTATTTCCCAAGACTCATCCCAGAAGTTTCTTTTTGGATTAGATGGTGATTAACACAGACAGCACCACCAGCCGAGGTGCAGAGGATGGGAACCTGCAGAGTGCTCAGCCCTAATTGTGACTTCTGTATCCCATGCCCTCTTCCCAAGACATGGGTATCTGTGTATGAGAGGTATTGGGAAAACTGTTAGAGTCCGAGGCAGTAGATGACTCAGAGGAATGAGTGTTTGCTCAACACAACAGGGCAGCTGCGTGTATGAATAGTACACATCTGACTGTACACACAAGACCCATACAGTCTCAAGTCAAATAAAATCCCAAAATGAAATGTGGAAACTGACAGAAAGTTTACTCCCAACTGAAGAAGTCTCAGCAATTAGTAGTTGCTGAGAGAAGGGACTAAGCTTTTTTAAGGTGTCATCCCTGGTTAGGTCCCCTAGCAACAGTGGATGGCCACACATCTAATAAGAGTATATGGGCAGCACAGATCATACTTAATTAAGAAAGAAGAAGGGGGCACAAATTTGGGTGGATAAGGAAGGGGTAAGGACACGGAAGGAGTTGGAAGAAGAGTGAATATCAAAACAAGTGTACAAAATATTAAGGAACTACTAGAGGAACTAAAAAATAAATTCAATTTCCAACTCACAAGTCAGAAACGTATTTATCTGGAAAATGGGCTACAGGAAAGGGACCCAATGTGATATTAGCCATAAAATGAGGTATTTTTTTCTGAGGATTATAGATCTTCTCCTGCCTAGAGATACCAGATGACCTGGTAGCAGGGTCTGCTGAATCTAATCAAGAAAGATTAGGGATCTCATCTTAAATGACAACCCTAAAAGGCATACTTTGTCCCCATGAACCAAGTAACCTGGTCTGAAGAAGAGACTCTTATTGCAGTGAGTGAGAATTACAGTGGAAGGTCCAAAGGGGTCCTGAAAGCTAAGCTGCCATTAGAATCACAGCACACAGCAGTAAGTCAGGCTGAACACAAAACATCTCAACAGTTGATTGGATGCATGTTAAAACAGAATAGTTAAGCAGGACAAGAGTCTCCTAACATAACAGCTATCATATCCAGATACAAGGAAAAATCATTAATCATACCAAGAAGAGGAATGTCACAATCAGAGCATGATTAGTCTTATATTAGTATCAGGTAAAGCCAGCATGATAGAAAGTGTAAATACTAATGCCCAGAGAAATTAATGACAAAAAAAATTCATGAAGAAGAAACATTGATTTTTTTATATATATGCATCAAGCAACAGAGTATCAAAATTCATGACACAAAAATTTAACAGCTCAAAGGAGAAACAGACAAATTTATGATTACAGTTGTGTATTTCACCATCTCCTGCCCAATAACTAACTAAACTATTAAGTACAAATATTTTAAAAATATAGGAACCATGACAAAGCCAACTAATGGGATTTGACTTTGTGCATGAAGCATTCTTCCCAATGGCATAAAAACAAGCTTTTAAAAATTCATATAGAACAGTCACCAAGACTAAATTTCTCCTTAGCAATAAAGGGGGTGTAGAGCTACCAGAACTTTGATTGTGTAGAAAATATGTTTAGAAGACAATGGAATCAAACTGGAGATAAAACAATACAACAGGAAAGTCCCACAAGTTTTCAAATTAAACAATATATTTAAAATATATTTTAAATATATTGTTTATATGGGTCAAAATCTAATTCTCAAATATATGCAAATAACCTCACAGACATGAATAAAATGAAATCTGATCTGTTACAATGTGAACTGCTAAATATGAGGAAACTTTAAAAATTCAATGCATGAATTAGAAAAGATGAAAAGCACTAAGCATTAAGCCAGCAAGTGAAGTTACGTCTCACCAAATTACAAGAGTCACAAAATGAATTCAATACAAGTAGAAGGAAGGAAAGAATAGATCTGGGAGAAGGCATTAATGAAGCTGAAATCAAGATGGCAGGGGGGCAAATCAATGAAACATAAAGATACTAATAAAAAAATCAATGAAATTTATAAACATCTAATAATAAGAGAGATGGTACCAGGCATCAACACAATGGATGGAATTGGTGTTGATTGGCACAGAATTGTTTCCTTCAGTATCTTGTAACTGCACCAATGATTTACAGGGAGTGGGAACATTTTTCAAAGACCATAAACTCCCCAAAACATAACAATGATGAAACTGATCGTTCAAGTACAACCACTGACATTTTTCGGCTCACCGTGCAGAACCTCCTAGAAGAACCCTCAGGAACAGCTTGCCTTGCTCCAGCATCCTGAAACCTGTGTCAGGCATTGCTCATGATGTATACAGCTCTTTTTTAGAGCACAGGAAGAAGCAAGTCCCTCTAATTCAGTTTAGGAGAGTAATCTTACCCTGATGTGAAAACTTGATAAAGATACATTAAAATATGAAACCAAAGATAATCAACTCTCATATACTTAGTATAAAATTCCTCAATACAATATTAGCCAATCAGGTCTACCACTGTATTGTAAAAGGAATTCTACACTATCACTGTATAGAATTTATTCTAGGTATGAATATCTTTTCATTGTTTCAAGACCTATCAGTCAACTCCCTATCAGTCAACTCAGGCTGACATATCAGAAGCCTAAAAGGAAAATCATATCAACTGATTTAGAAAAGACATGATCAGTTCATCACCTCTTATACAGGTTGGATTTTCCTTTTTTAATGACTCTCCATGCCTCTTTGTGTGATTGTCATTTGATAGAGGATCTTTAAAGAGCCATTTAAGTAGAAATCAGGGTCATTAGGATGATTCTAATCCAATATGGCCAATGTTCTTAGAAGGACAGGAAGCCATTTTACTAAGAAGGTACCCACAGGAGGAAGATACCCTGAGAAGACAAAGAGAAGATAGGACAGGCATTGATAAGGCAAAGTGAGAAATCTTGGGAGACCATTCCTGGCACATCTCTCTGAGACTGATTGTCTTCAAAATTCCAGAAGAGTACATGTCTTTGTTTAAGCCATCTAGTATAAATGAAATTGTTATAGCAGCTTCAACAAACTGCGGCAGAACTACTTCAAGAACAGGAACAGAGGAAGTTCTCCAACTTAATATAAAATATGTTCCAGAATACTTAAACTCTTGCCAGTGAGGGAAAGACTGCTTTCTCCTGGGATTACAACAAACCTCTTACCACTTTTATTCACCATGCTCTTTGTTTTGGTGTATCCAGCTAGTAGACCAAGAGATGTAGGTGGTCAAGGCGTGAAAGGAAACAGATACCCCTAAAGCATTCTTACAGTAAAAGAAATTACTCTAAGAATGCTTCATGTCGGGTGAGTCCAAATATTTGTCCTTGGAGAGATGATAAATTACAGAAAAAAAAAGATGGATAGTGAGGGTTAGGAAAGAGGAAGAGTGAGCAGGGAGAGTAAGGTATTCTTTACACAGTTCAACATCAATGCATGTCTTTAGAATGGTGGGTACCTGCCTGTATATATACATACATATATATAAAAATTATTATATTATATATTAAACTATTGATTTGGGGTCTCTGGTGGGATTGCCAGCTTCTAATGGAAAAGCAAACTGCTCACATTTTTTTTTCTAGAAAGCAAAAAAAAGAAGAAAAAGTGAAGAGGTGAAAGTCCTACAGTGTCCTTCCAAGTCCAATCCCAGTGGCTGTTGCCCTCCAGTTGTTGACTATTTCTATCCCAGAACCAAGACTTTCAGGTTCTGGGATAAACACACACACTGTAGCTAGGTAGGAGTGTCCACACACTGGGCATAACAAGTGCACAGAGTGTGTGAAGGATATTAACCATGGAGGGAATTGGAGTCAGATAAAGGAGCAGAAGAGGCCTCAGACATGCTGCTGTGTTTTTTCTCCTAGAACACTGCTCAAAATGTTATTTTTTAAAAAAAGCTAATCTTAAAAGGTTATATTCTATATAATTCCATTTCTTTCACATTCTTGAAATGTTAAAGGTCTAGGATTGAACCGGGGGATGAAAACTGGTAAAATCTGGAGAAGGGAGAAACATTACATCAATATGAATTTTGCTGCTAGGAGATTGTGTTACGGGTAAGCAAGTCCCTGCAGGGATATGCAGAGGAGGGTCAGATGGTCCCTCAGTATGTTCTCTTACAATTGCAGGAGCTTAAAATGATTGTAAAATTCAAGTTTAATTTAAGGAATAAAATTTATTGTTTACAGGAAGTTGCTAGTTGTCATTCCTAGATTTTTCATATGACCTCATTTTCTCTTTTTCAGTCTATTCATATTGACACTACTTTATACACTGACAGTGACTTTCATGTGAGTATAGTTAGGTTTTTCAAAATTGCTATTTTCCAGTTGTTCAGCCATATTCCCATAACTTCACTGAAAAAGTTATAGTTTTAAAGTCTAACTTATGGTGGGTTCTCTTAGTGTTTCACCCATTGACATTTCTGAGGGAGTGCTGAATTTTTGGGACTTATGGCAAAATGCTACATAAATGCTGCTTTTGTAAGGGTGTCAAATGACAATGGGAAAAACAGAATTTTCCACCAATGTCAAACAAAATCTCTTATATATTTCTGTGATGCAGTTAGAGTGTCATAGAATTAGATGCTAGAATGGGACTGAATGATTCCATGTAAATATCTTTATACCCGTCACTCTAGTGCTATCGTGCGTGAACATCCTCAGTTCATCTACTGAAACTTGCTCAAAGGCATCCATGCTTTGTGTTTTGCGTGGATCTCTACACTTGAAAGCAGTCTTTCCACTAGTCTCTATGTGAGGTGAAAGAATAATCCAAATGATGTACTAGAATTTCTAAAGGATAAGCCAGCCTCATTATCATACACTGATGTTGTTGATGGCGTTTGGTCATGTGGTTCCACCTTTCACTCTAGGTTACCGCTAAAGCAAAGAAATAGTTTTCCAATTCCATTGTTTGGAAAATGTTCATTTAAATAATTGTTAACCCCCCACAATTTAAAGTTACCTAGTAAGAACATCAGTGAAGTTTGCCGGAAGGCATTCTACAGACTGTGTTTATAGTGCTGGGAAGATGCACTCGGAATGCGGGCTGCATCAGTTCGTGGGCTGAACCCTGGACTAAGTAGAGAAGGCTAGTGGAGGTCTGAGTGCAGCCTCACACACTCTCTCTGCTCGTAACTGTGGCTCTGGTTAGCTACCTTAGTTCTGCTGCCGTGACTCCCCCTCGATGATGAACTGTAACTTGGGATTGTGAGCAAAACAATTTTTTTCTCCTTGAAGTTGCTCTTTCTCAGAGTATTTTTATCACAGAGACAGAGGGAAAAAAAATGAACCTAGAACCCAAACCAAACTGTGTATTCTGCGTTTGGAACTGTCTCCTGGAACTTCTCTGAGGTGGAAGGTGTGTGCCTTCTTGCTCCTGGTTGGTTTCGTACAAGGTGGAGCCTGAAACTCAGACAAGCAGATGTCCACCAGACAAGTGTGTGACATCTAAATAACCCCTGCTGTGATTTTAGCATAGTTTCTTTTTTTTCTCTGCTTTTTTTTTTCCTAATCAGAAAGCTTTCATGTGAAGGAAGATAACCTTGCAACTCAAAGGGGATGCAAAGATGCCAGTATTGATGTGCAGACGTGAATACTTAGGCTCAGGCACAGCTGAGTTCTCATTTAATGTTTCCTTAATTGTTTCTTTTTTTAAGTTTAGGGTTTTGTGAAGTAACTCTTACAAGAAGTACATTTTCTTGTTCACAGTCCCTTTCTGATTTGGCCAGCCCATAAGTGGGCACTGCCTTTGCTTTGGGTTTTCTCTCAAATTTCTTAGAATCCTTTTTGTTGGGAGCTGTCAGGAAAATGTGACTTACAATTACCACTCTGTAAGATGTGAACATGTAGTATGACTTTAAACACTTTTTACCAATGTTCTGTCACTTCTAGGCTGCTCTATCACCCATTGGAAGAGGGTGTTCAGTATAGATGGTAGCTTTTTATGCCCTTCTCTCCTTCTGTATAATAGTACTATCCTTCTTTGTTGATGGCTTTAGTTTTGATTTCAAAATTCAAATGAAAAAAGAAAGCCATTCCTACATAAATAAAACTCCTGATGGCACACAATCAAAAAACCATTTAGGGAAGAAAGTGTTTATTTGGCTTACAATTTCAAGTTATAGTCCACAATTATGGGCGGTCAGGACAGGAATGTAAAGTATCCAGCTAACAGTGAAGAACAGAGACAGAGTAACTGCAGGAAACTTGCTCTCAGGCAGCTCTCCTCTGTCTTACACTATTCAGGACCCTCTGCCTAGGGAATGTTGCCACCCACACTAGTTTGTGTCTTCCTCCATGAATTAACAATGAAGACAAGCGGACATGACATGCCTACAAGTTTGCCTGAGAGGTAATTCCTCATTAAGGCTATCTTCCAAGTTGTGCCAAGTTGACAATTAAAACTAAGCAGTGTGGGTATCACGTTTCTTTGTAAAATAACTAGACTGGTTTGATTGATTTTTTTTAAAATCAAAGTCTTATCAATGTGAAAATGAATAATGGGAAAAGGTCTTTTTTGCTTGTTTATTTTTTTTAAACTGGCTCTTTTCTTTTTAGCCCAGTTGCAAAGTTACTGCAATGAACTGCTTTCTCCTGGAATTACAGGTTGTTTTACATGAGTACAGTGACATGACTGTTAGTGAAACAGTAAGAAACGTGCTCTACCTTGCCAACAGCACTCTGTCTTCTAACAAGGTGAGTGATCCAGCAGCCATAGAGAGCTGCATCTGATGTTTTGGGCTTGCTTGAGATAAGGCACTTATATGTAAGCACAGTCTCCATCATGCACACAGAAAAGAATTTGATTCCAGTGGAGTGGTGTTCAAACGTGGTAGCAGGGCTGACATGCACAGAATCCTAAACTTGTTGATCCCCTTGATAAACAAGCGTTTCTGAATCATGCCAACCTATGTGCTTTAGTGTCAGAGTCATATTGATTTTAAAATGCCATATTGGCAAGTGGGTGCAGTGGATAGACATTAATGTGATCAAGTGTTTAGCATCAGAAATAGTAGCTCACATGTATTGAGTTAGGTCTTAATACCACACACTGATCTTTATACTTTGGACTGATAAGGCACTAACTCCTCATAGTCAGTCTCAGAGACTGGTGTCTTCTCTTGTTTCACGGCTAGCTGTCTCCATATCTGTTTGAATGTTGATGCAAAGGGAAACACAAAGCTAAGCACATGCTCCAGTTTGTGCAGCTAAAGGCACAAGAGCCATGATGCTACTCCAGCTTCTGTCCTCTCATCTTCCACAAATTTAAGCAATGGAAAAATTAGAATAATCAAAAGTGTTAATGATTCAAGTATTATTTAGAACATTCCAGACAACATGAGCAGGAGAGGGTTACAAGAAAGCAAATTCTAGTGACTGCTGTGGTCGACTGAAGGGTAAGCTACACAGATGCTGCGAGGTGCATGGAACTGTGGCTTGAGAGGGACAATCATAGTGGACAAAACCAGGCGCAAACAAAGGAATGTCATCATCAGTGGTAGGGTAAAATGATTTAATTTAATGAGCACTTCAGTATACCCCTTTAAGAAGCACCTGTTCCAAGAAAAGAGTCGAGTCGATGTGAATTAGCTAATTAGTGAATGAGTGAACCAGTCAGTTAACCTTTAAGCACAGTTGTAACAGAGAAAGCATGTGTGTGAGAGGAAGGGCGGGGGTGGGGGAGTCCTAGGGTTCTTTCTGGTGTGGAGGGGAGATAGTCAATAAGGTGGTATGTTACACAGAGGTCAGGGAATGAGTGTCAGGGACACTCTAGGAGTGTCTTTAGGCAGACACAAAGGGCAGTGCAGTGACGGTGAGATGCCTTGGCTTTTCCTCCCAAAGCCTGGGCTGCCTCAAGTGTCTGCTCAGATGCCACCTTCTCAGTGATGTCACTTATTCATGTTCGCTATGCTTTCCCCACACCCGGACTTGCTGTCCCCAGCTCTATACATGCCCCACACGGATAATCATGCCCAAGAGTCAGTAGCAGTGATTATCTGTCACCCTTAGAAGGTCAGCCTCAGAGCCCATGCATTTTAGATTTCTTTATTATGATTCCCTGGACATACACTTCTTACAGGTATCCGTCACTTGCAATACTTACCAAGTGATTCTATTCCTGGTTAAATTACTTCTGTCGTATGTTATCATTACTTATTAATGGTAACAGATAATATGTCACAGTATCAGTGCTGAGCTCTAGGCTGCATGTGGGTGCCACCACCAAAGTGACAGTTTGGCATAAATACTGGAAGATCGAACAGCGTGGTTGGGAGACCTGTGTGGAATATCAGTTTGCATGTCAGTGGCGATGAGCCACTAAGCATGCTTGCTTCCCTCTCTGACATTGTTTTCAGGACCAACTAGAGAGCAATATTAGCATTATGACAGTGTCTGGCATTCATTGTGTGCCTTATACATATTGGGGAATCTGAATTCCAAGTGCCTAATGAATATGAAATCTAATTTTGAATTTTGCTGGCACAGCCTTTGTAGTTCAGATGATCTCTAAAATGTTTATTCATGGTGGCTGTGCTTGTAGTATTCTAGCTGTCCCCAAAGCTATGTTTATAGCATTTGCCTAAGTGGTTCAGATCAACCAATAGCATTCAGTTAGCTAATCACTGTCCCAGGCCTGTGCTTAATGCTGGGAAACAAAAGATATGATATATGCTATGCTTCCCAGGAATAGTTAGGTAACTGTAGTTAAAAAGGCTAAAAGTAGTGTAAAAAGGCTAAAAGTCTGTGATATATACATATCTAATGTATTATATATGTGATAAATATCACACACACATATATACACACATTCTATATGTATAGAACAGAAAGGCAAATGTTTGTGAAGTACAGACTTCGAGAGAGATACAAACAATAAAAATAAAAAAAACACAACAAGAAGGAAAAACCAATCATAGCAACAACAGCAATACAGTGATGGGCTTTAAGCAGGAAGGACACAGTCTAACATGAATGTCCTGTGCACTTGCAAGATTTTAATCCAACGTAGGAACACACAACCCCTAAAAATCTCTTGACTCTTTCTCACAGTTTTTCAACACATGATTTAATTTGCCAGTGTTTTCATGTCTGAAGACCACCCACCATGTGTTTCACGTAGTATGATAACCCCCAAAGGAACAAGTATATTCTGTCTGCAGATCTAATTCTTCCTCCTTGTTTGGCAGAATGTAGCAGAATCTGGCTGCAAGGAATGTGAGGAGCTGGAGGAGAAAACCTTCACAGAGTTTTTGCAGAACTTTATACGTATTGTCCAAATGTTCATCAACACGTCCTGAGTGCAGGCGCGCCTCTTCAGTGTTTCTGTTGTTATGACACCTCTGCCTGCTGCTGAGAGCCAGTGCAGCTCCATGCATCTGTCATCTGCTGGGAAAACAAAGTTTCCTAACAAGGAGCTGATGAGCCATGTGGATCACATGAACTCTCGGAAATGAAGAGAGGAAAAGAGCTCCTCTCAAACTTATGTTGACTTGCTTACTTTTAATTTATTACTTCAGTTGTACATATTTGTAATATAACAGAAGATGTGGAATAAAGTTGTATGCCTATTTTATCAATTGAAATTTAACTCTTACTTTGCCCTTTTGATTAATGTGTATTTAGCTGTGTTGTGATGTTTGTGTGTATACATGCTTGTCTTTGTGTGTGTGTGGTAGGGGGGATGCAGTGCACACATTCGAAAGTGTGTCAAGGCAAGAGGTTGGTTGACCTTGGGTGCCTTGGTCATTATTTTCTACCTTGTTTGTTGTTGCTGTCGTTGTTTTTAAGGCCGTGTCTTTTCCTTAATCTGGAACCCAGTAATTCTGTGGGACTAACTGGCCAGTGACCCCTGGGGATCCTTCTGTTTATATTTCCTTCCTTAGAAGTGGGATTACAGGCACTTGCCACATCTTTGGCATTTTACATGTGTGCTGATCATCTGGACCCAAATCCTCATGCTTGTGTTGAAAGCACACTCTCATCCGAGCCATCTTTCCACTCCCTAATTCATATGTTGTAGCAAATGAAAGGTATGTCTTTTTTTTTTTTTTTTTAGGATAATACTCCTTCAAGGAAAGTAAAAGAATACACAGAAAACTGATGTTTTAGTGTTTTACAGTTTTATTTTATTCTCACAAAAGTTAATGCCACACGCAATTGTTGAGATTTTTAAAGGGCTGGTTTGTGAGACTCCATTTGGTTTGACCAAAGTACAGTTGTTCATAGGTGCTGTCGAAATGGCTCACAGGTGTGAATATTTCCTGCACAAGCATGAGGATCCACATTTGCTTCTCCAGCATCCTTGGAGAGCTGACCATGGCTATGTCAACCCTGTGCTTTGTGGTGGAACAGAAGAATCACTGTGGCTTACACTGTCTTAAGTGGATGCAGAGGAAAGTCGTGGACCAGGGCATTTCATACCCATGTATACCCACATGCAGTCAACACCCAAATGCAACTTAAAAATGACTGTTAGTAAGCTTTTATAATCCTTGCTAGTATTCTTCACTGTTCTGTCTAAAATTAGTAAGCTTTCTAGCATTCCCATTGCTAGACAATGGAGAAAATGTACCATTTTAACTATAATTTTCCAATCTAATTGTTAAAGAAAAGTTGGTCTCCATCCAGTGTTTGTTTATCTGAGGAAAGGGAAATGAAAATGCTAGTCATATTCCTGATGGTATTTGATAGTGATTGATAATCCACTTGTATTTTATAAACAAACAGGATGGTTTGAAAAGTTGGAATGTTCCAGTGCTCAATGTTACTGCCTCTAAAATGTCACACACCACAGCTGATTTTAGGAAACTTGAGTCTATAGTTGTTAAAATCCTTTAACTTGATATAGAGGGTGTCTGTGTGAAGTGGTCATATACAACCATCTTTTAGTTACCATAAGAGATAAAGTGATTGTGTACCACCATCTGAATTTAACTTCATCTTCCTGTTCTTAAAGTCAAACCTTCCCGTCGATTGCAAAGTCCTTGCTTTCTACCCCCTTCCATTGGCCAGCCCAAGGTTACCTTCCTGAGGGATACCGTATTTACATCTCACCTAAATGATGAAAACATTTGTCATGTATATCCTATAATGAAAGAAGCACGAAATCATATACCTAATGGCAAATGAACAAGGGAAGCCAAATAGAATTAGACTGATAATCCAACATACCATTGATGGATAGATCATTTTCTTAATTTCAAGCAAAGAAATGATATATGAGAGGATATACTCTGCATGTTCTCTCTAGTAATAAAGTGAAAGGACTCTGAGGTGGGACGTGGAAACACAATCATAACTATTAAGTAATTTGTGAGCCAAGAGAGTTTTATAACCCAATTACAAGTCTAGTTTCATATAATCTCATTCTTTATCTTAGACAAGTGAATCAATAGATTTACCTTCTTCCGCTGTTGTTACTATAGTTGTAAAGAGGGAATTATATGTTTTGATGTTGTAGTTTATTGCTGACAAATTCAATAACATAAAACCAAACTGACATACACAAAATAAAAATCAAGTAATATCATTGTTCCCTCATTTCTGTCCCCAAGCAACAAGAAATCCCAGAGAGCATATTCTTGTTTCTTCTCTTGTGTGAGTGTGTAACTCAACATAAGCCGTCAGCAGGAAAATCATGCTTAACATATGCATGCAATGGCTAAATATTTTGCCCAGAGGAACTCTCATTTCCAAAGAGATTTGGTTTAGTATTTCTGAACATGTCTAGTGACTGAATTGTGATCACAATAAGAATGTGTTATGTAAAATATTTAGCTGTATGAAGTGTCCCTTGGTCCTAATTGTGTACTCTACCTAACACAACATAGAAGAAAATTAATGAAACAGAGACAGGCTTTTATCCTATAATTTATTTCTTCAACCGTGAATTTTTGAATAGGGATTAAAGAGAGCAGAGAGTTGTAACATAGAAGCAGATTTGAAAGCTGCTGCATTTAGCCTTTGGAAATAGTGTCAGACTTTTTGGACTGTTGTCATTCATGGAAGACAGCATCCATGCCCAAATCATTTACCTTAATTGTCATGATCACTTTTTTTTTTCCTCTTTAAGCAATAGTACCTTAGTTATTGGAAATGTACTCGGTGCAAACGTTTTATCAGATGCTGTAAGAAGGCCATAGTGTCAGCCTTCCTGAGCCTCATAATCCTGCAGAAGCATTGCATTATCAAGCCCTTTTTCCAAAGTCATATTTTGTGTACAAGGGGATCAAGGAAAATCAGGTTGATTCAAGGTGTTCATTCAGAGAGCACCTCTTGGAGGGGGTGACAGGTGAGCTGGGCTGTCAGTAGGTAGCAGATAAGCCAGAGGAGGAGTGTACAGACTGGAAGACAACCCTCCAGTCAGTGAAGACAAGAGTGTTCCTAGAGCAAACCAAACAATCCAGAATAGGCTGGGGGGAAAAGATGGAAAAGAAACTGTGGCAGTGGAAGAGCTAACTGCTTCTGGATGCTACACTAAGGACTTTTCTGTCTGACCTATAGAAAGAAGACTTGTTGTAACATTTAAAAAAAAAAAACTAACCTTGAAAAGAAGTCTTAAAGTCAAAGTCTCCTTACAGATAAATATCGGATTCGTAAAGTTCGTCACTGTGTGGGAGTGTCACCTCTATCATCTTTGATGATTTCTTGGAACATCAAATGGACAACAATATCAGCAAGTAATTACTCACTGTGGCAGCCCTGCATTCAGCATGTGGGACTTGCAATACTGGAGTCAGAGGCATATGTACAATGAAGCACCAGGCTCTACAGGGGCAGGAAAGGTCTTTGGGAAAAAAATTCTGAGACAAAGAAGGCTTTTGGAATGGATGATTTCTAAAGCCTACATCACTGAAAACTGTTTGCAATAGGGAAGCTACTTATTCTTATCAAGATAAACCAAGAGTGGCAGCTTGGAGGAGTTGAAAGGAGAAGTGAAGAAGGTGGGATGTCACTGGGTAGAGGGAGACAACATCTGACGTTAAATTAGCCGTACATAGTATTGTGGACAGATATAATGGAGCTCAGTAGATGTGGAAGCTGATGGGTGTAAGGAGAAGCAGAGGAAGGAAAAAGCGTCTCTCATTACATGAGAGTGAAGAGCCTAGAGAAGAAATGAGAATGTCAGAGTGTGGATGGTTCTGAATGGCAGGCACTATCCTTTCTAAAGGACCAGAAGATTATTGGTCTTAAACTAAGCTCAGTTTCCTGAGATGAATTAGCAAGGTCAAAGCCACCAATGTGTCTGTAAGCCCTCTTCTCAGGATGCACCAGGATGATGGTTGTAATAATAGTTCTTTTATACAGGTATGAGTCTTTACAGTTCACAAAGCACTTTCATCTATATTATTTTATTTGGTGAGAGTGTTTGCCTCTCTTGGGCACTGATTCAATGAGAAACAGCTTTAGAAATATTTGACTTTTGTCAGTGATGTGTAAAAAGGAAAAAAAAATCCAGCAGGAAAAGACCTGAAAATTTTGACTGAACTCAGCTGTGTATATATTTATGCCCTATTGCCAGTTGTATTTCTTTTTAAATAAACATGAATTTAATACTTGGGGCGGAAAATTGTGTCTTATTCAAGAGTTCAAGATAACATTTAAGTTTGTATTTTTGGTTCATATTTTGATACTACTTCTTTATACAATTCTATTCTGCTACTTTTTTATGGTTATTCCCACATGGCAAATGCGACAGTAAGCTTATCCAGCCTGAATTAATTACCTTTTTATAGCAAAAGAAAAAAGTCTCTCCTTTTGACAAGGAAGATGTTTGAACTCTATTTATGAATAAATAAAGGCAGCTGCTAGACACAGCATTTTTAATAGCATGGCTTCAAACATTCCAACTGAAAAGATTTCCACTCTTTTTTTCCCCCCGACAGGAACATCAACCTTTTGTGTCCCTGGGGTTGTTAAAGTGTGAAAATCACAGAGTAGCAATACTTCTACAAAGCACTCAGTTCAGAAGAGCAAGCAAAAGGCAGTGTACTTAATGGTCACTCTCTTTGGGGGTCACTTAGCCTGGTTCTTCAGTTTTCCCTCTGAAGTGTAGGCTGTCAACACTACACTCCCCCATAACATGTTGGCAGCCTCAAGCTTTCGTCTAAATGGCTGCAACAATATTGTCTACCTGCTCTCCAGAAGAATAGATTTTTTTTTCAGAAGAGATTCTTTGCTTGGGTCAGAAAGTGTATTTGCCAAACAGAGCACTTCATGCTAGAAAATACTGCTAACTGCAGGCCCAGAAAAGGCCTACCTCTTCCTGATGATGATATCATAACCCTTTAAAGCATTGGATTGGCCTTCAGACTTCTTCTTATTCAAAGGAATTGATATTCTGGAGGATTCTCTGGTCCCTGGTTATTCTCTTCACACAGGAGAGTTTAAGAGCACTTCTAGGAGGGCTGAAGAGGTGTGGGACTGCGTAAGGGTATCCTGGGTCATGGTTGAGTAGGTGCCTAGAACCCCGAGACTCTGCAGACTCTGCATGGGATTCTGCGTGAGAATCTGCAGGAGTTTGGCACCCCCCAGAATCCAGGATCCTGAAAAGCAGTCACGGTCTCCATAGAATTACATTGTT